TGAGATCTGTGGCTGCAGCTCCCACCCCCCAGGCAGCATGAAGCTGCATGTAATTCTTCTTACTACTGTGCCAGAGGGGGGGCGGTTAGGAGATACAGTCAGATTGCTGTTGGTTCTTTTAGGTCATACACCATCTAAATTAAGATCACTGACCCACCCATTTGGGATTCTGTTTTGTTTTTTTCTTCTTAATTTTCTTAGAATTGCATGATTTTAGACCCATCTTCCTAGATCAAACAGCCCCGCAAAGTATTGGGCTGCCCTGCTCGTACCAGAGAGTAGTTGCTTCTTGTTTCTGGCTTAATGCTATTATACAGACGTGAAGATGTAATGAGCTAGTTTGGGGTACCATTCTCTGTTGGGTCATGAAAAGCATGGTTTTAGGAATAGTAGTGGCCACCCTTTGGATATTTGATCCAGCTGCTGCTGGTGCTTCAGTAAACATGCAAGGCTGGTCAGGTCACTTAACTGATCTTGGTGCTTCAGTAAACATGCAAGGCTGGTCAGGTCACTTAACTGATCTTGTCTTTCTCACTCTGATTAAGTGGCCAAATCAGTCTTGGACCTGATGCAAGCACACGAATGTCAGGGTATAAGTCAGAGAGCCAAGACTCCCTTTCTGTGTCCCCTCCTTGTGTTCCATAGCTTAGGGAAAGGTGCACCCAGAGAGCCAGAGATATATGCTCTTGCTAGGCATTGGCCAAAAGCTGGTTTATACTGCTGATTCCCCTGCTTTTTGACAACTGGGGATAGTTGTAGTTATCATAGTTTTATGTAACTTCAAGTTTCCCTGGTATCTTGGTATATCTCAGGATATAGTTCAAAATCCCAAGCCAGATCCTGTAATGTGACGCTTTCCCTGTAATGTGATCCTTCATAGGGTCTCAGAAGGGAACTTTCCTTAACACAACCTGCCAGCATCAATCAAGTGAGTTTAAAAAGCCACATGTAATCAAGTATTGGTTCCAAAGGAACGTTGATAGGAGTTTAGGGTTCTTAGATCCCATCTAGGTTACAAACTGTCTGATACTTCATGCCTGAGTCAAATCCATTCTAAACTGTTGAAACTTTTTCCCCCCTCCCAGCATGTGCGTCTTCTGTCCCGTAAACAGTTCCAGCTGAGGGCACTAATGCAAAAAGCAAGAAAGACTGCCGGTCTCAGTGACCTCTACTGACTTCTCTGATATCAGCTGGAGATTGAGCTCTTCTTAAAGCATTCTTTTCTTCTCTTTCTTTCTCTTATCAGTAGGTGCCCAGAATAAGTTATTGCAGTTTATCATTCAAGTGTAAAATATTTTGAATCAATAATATATTTTCTGTTTTCTTTTGGTAAAGACTGGCTTTTATTAATGCACTTTCTATCCTCTGTAAACTTTTTGTGCTGAATGTTGGGACTGACTATGCTAAATAAAATTTGTTGCATAATTTTTCTCTTTATTGAACGTTTTTAGGAAAAATTAAAGTCTTACTAAGAAGCTCGATTTTTGATTTATCAAACAGCATAATATCCATCAAGTTAAAATTTAGCATTATTTATTCTGTGGCATATAAGTAAACTCTGTTTAATATGGGATATACCAGATAGACATCTAACTTTTTGAGGAATTTGAGTGACTTTTTCTGTGAAAGGTCCTAGGTGGTACCCTCCTACCAGTCCTTGCCTAGATTTATTACCTTTCTAGGCTTGACTGAAGCAGAACCAGCCACCTTTCTACATGGGCCCCTTGTTTTCATCAAGAAGAAAGGAAGAGGGTGGCAAGTGGCAAGCTATACACCTGAGAATTTGTTATGTAGGAAGGTAAAGTGCCTACCTGCTTTTATTGTCACTTGAAGTCGGTCTTCCTGGTGAGTGAGTGAGTTTGTAGGCAAGTTTGTGACCACCAGTGAGCTGTGGTTCATGCAGATCTCATCTAGGTAGAATAGAATTTTCTCTGTCAAAATGAGGTAGAAAATTCATGAGGTTACAAAGAAAGGTACAATTTAAGATGTTTCAAAATACTTAGGAAGCCAGGCAGCCTACTCTAATACTTCTTTCAAGAAAAGAATGCCCACCTTGGTCCCAGTCATCACTGAAGGGTTTATACAGTTTAGATCTTTTATAAAAATTACCAAAATAGGGGTGCCTGGCTGGCTAATAAGTCAGTGGAACATGTGACTCTTGATCTGGAGATTGTGACTTCACATTCCATAGTGGGCGTATTGATTACTTAAAAAAAACAAAATCTTAAAAAAATTATCAAAATAAAAGCAAGGCCAAATCAAGGTTTAATTTAGTATTAGGATTGGAACTACCATTTAGTTATTTTTTTTGCGTATGCATGCATTTTGACCTTGTAGAGAAAGTTACAGGTTTTTTATAGTGTATGAATGAATAGGTATCAACCAGCCAGAACAAAAGAATCAGAAACTCTACAAACACATTTTACACATATCATTCTTTGAACACATCATTCTTTATATATATATATACACACACACACACACAGGCAAAAGCTAGTGAAATAGGAATTGTAAAAATGTAAAATGCAAAAATTATAAAAATGAAGTATCATCCAACATCTGGATGCTCAAACAGGAATTTAAGTTGGTTCAAAATTTTGACATATCTAATCCTATAACTACTTCCTTAATTTCAAAATGGAAGCTTTAAGCAACTTTAAAACTTGGCTCCTTCAGAATTTCCCAAAGAGTTTCTGTACTCTTTTTCAAAGGAGCCTCCTCTTTGGGGGGTCAGCTTTATTACCTTTACAAGATCTTTAAAACCCTTCTCTCCCAGGACATAAGAAACACTAAGGAATACTTCTTTTATTCCATTGAGGCCCTGCAAGTAAAGGTTTAATAATTATTCCTTTTCTTTCTTTTAACAAAGGTCTACAACATGAAAAACAACAGTTGCTGAGTAAATAAGTATTTAACAGCTTTATGGCAGAAAAACAGACCAAGAGGACAGAGAACAATTTAAAACAGATGGTTAGACATATTTTATTGTTCAAATTCATCAGCCCTCTTTCCACATGGGCCCCAAGCTCTGGCCATTTTTGCTGAGAACCACTCTCCTTTTCCTTTCTCCTTACCCTCAAATCATTTCCTATTAGGGAATCACTTCAAAATTTCAGTTACTTTATTCCCAATGATATGAGTCCATTTGGCTTTAACCTGTCACATTCAGAGTTTTACGTCAGGCCTCAACTTCCCCTTCTCCAGGAGACTTGGAGTACTTTTGTAACTAGTGATTCTTTCTTAGGTCTCTCCATTGGACATAATTGGAACTCTTAGAGAACAACTCAAAATGGAGCAAGATCTACCCACAATGGTTCCCAATATTATCAGATATTTGTAGAGTTAAACTTTTATGTAATTGAATGTAATAAATACCAGGACAAAGGTCTACAAAGATAAGCCCCTCTACCACCAACACCACCCCTTTCTCTATTTTAGCAGCAACAAAGAATAGGTTTTAGGAAAAGACACAAGATCAACCTCAAAAAGTAATTGTTCCTCACAAATATTCTTTTATCCCTATTTTATGTTAATGTTAAATGGTTTTTCAAACATAAACATCCTACCTTACAGTGGAAACTGGATGTACTCTCCTAAGGTTCTTCAAAATACTTTCCATTAAATCAGCTACAGATAGGGTTACATGCCAAGAAGTATATCCTTTCTTTTTAATCATCTCTAAGCCACTGTGGAGTTAGAAGAAATCATGAACATAAGAAGTTAACTTTATTTATTTATTTTTAATTATTTATTTATTTATTCATGAGAAGACACAGAGAGAGAGAGAGAGAGAGAGAGGCAGAGACACAGGCAGAGGGAGAAGCAGGCTCCATGCAGGGAGCCCGATGTGGAACTCGATCCCAAGTCTCCAGGATCATGCCCTGGGCTGAAGGCGGCGCTAAACTGCTGAGCCACCCGGGCTGCCCAGAAGTTAACTTTAGAAGAAATAATTGTCACTGAACATCCATTTTGTGACAACCTATCTTGACAGTGCCACAAAACTGAAATGTTTCCATGAATTTCCCCTAGAAATTTTTATTTATTTATTTATTTTTTTCCCCTAGAAATTTCTTACACCAGTTGGTTATTTAAGGTAAACAGTCCTGAGTATAAGTACAGAGTTTCAGAAATTAATATGAAATCAATTTTACAACTATATAACAGTTTGAAAAAATATATTGTCAACAAGAGAGTACCTACAGTGTTTAGGGGCAGGCTTAGCAGTGAGTGAGATGGACTCAGTCCCTGACTGCTTGAGAATTTATAACCCGGTGAATATGATCACACAAAAATAAAAGAAAATGCAAAACTGACATACTACCTGGCAACTACTTTGTGGACATTTCCCACTGCTCAGGATCTTTATCAGTTCCAAGTCTAAATTCAGGTCCTTCGGAGAGACCCCAGCAAACTTCATTCTACATTGGAATTGAGAAAAAGACACCAAAAAATTCTTTTTATTACACGGTATTATATGACAGGGCATTTTTTTAAGTATTAGCAAAGCTGTTATAATTGCCCTAAGTGGTTTTCAAATAGGAAGGTTCAACAGAACTATCAAATTCAGATGTCTTTTAAGTGTTGCCCCAAATCCACTAAACTAAAATCTCTCTGGGGATAGGGCCTATCATCTTGGCAGAGATTCTCCAAACACAAAAGTGACAGTTTTATTTTTTTGTAAAGATTTTATTTATTTATTCATAGAGACACACAGAGAGAGAGAGGCAGAGACACAGGCAGAGGGAGAAGCAGGCTCTATGCAGGGGGCCCAACGTGAGACTGGATCCCAGGTCTCCAGGATCACGCCCCAGGCTGCAGGCAGCACTAAACCGCTGCGCCACTGGGGCTGCCCGAAAGTGACAGTTTTAAACTTTGAACTACAGATAAGTTTTGACCTTTATATGAATGGATTTCAAGGGTTCTTAGAAAAAAAAGGGAAAAAAGGACTACTCTCACCATAGCGCATGCAATCTTTTCCATGCCAGGCCACAAAATAAATCTTAACAAATCTCAGAGAGTTGAAATACAAAGTATATTCTCATGCCAGAATAGTTCTTCTCCTCTTCTGTGATGACTCTGGCCTTCTCCTCCTTGTAGATATTCCGTATGGGCATGACTGGTCCTGTCAGCTGTGTTGCCAGTTTGAGTTCTTCAGCTGAGCTGTCGCCCTTCTTGGGGGCTGAAGGCTTCCTGGGGAAGAGGATGAGCTTGGAGCAGTATTCCTTGAGCCACTGCACGTTGGCCTGCAGGGAGAATTCTGTGTCACAGCAGAATATATATGCTCAAGGGCACATGCAATCTTTTCCATGCCAGGCCACAAAATAAATTTTAACAAATCTCAGAGAGTTGAAATACAAAGTATATTCTCATACCAGAATAGAAATCTGGAAAAAAAAAATATGAAAAATACACAAATATTTGACAAACAACACACTCCCTTAAGTAATGAGTGAGTGGTTCAAAACAAAATCTTAAGAGACTCTTCCTCCTACTGCCAAGTTATACAGAGGCAGAGGCTCAGGTGCCATGTAAGTTTTGCCTCCACTCATAACCTACTGCCAAGGCCTAGGAAGGCACTGCTGCTGTTAATGGATGTTAATACGGCTTCACAAGATCCTGAAGGCTGCCCTCATCTACAATGGCCTAGCATGTAGAAATAATCAAGATGCCAAAGCCTTAGAGAAGTACCAAGCCCATCATCTTTGTGTGTTCCATCCAAATATGTGTGTGTGTGTGTGTGTGTGTATACACACACAAATTTTGGTGACTCTTTTGTGCTGAACACCAAATTAACCTAATTAGTCTGTAAAAGTGATAGAGGGAAAATCCTATAAAGTGACTGGTTGCTGTTCTGTGGTAGTTAAGGACTATGCCATAGAATCTCGGGCCAACCATGTCCTTAAGGAGTACTTCAAATGCAAGAAAAACTTAAAAACAGCTCTTGCTCCTCAAAAGAGGGGGGAAATATTGAGAAATATAAAAATAGTTGAGACAAGTAAAACAAAAACACAGTATACCAAATTTCATGGGATGCAGCTTCTCAGAGCCTAAAAGGAAACCAATACCTGTAAATGCCCACTACCAAACAAGAAAGATTCCAAATCAATAACCTAACCTTCCATCTTAAAAAATAAGAAAAAGAAGAGCACACTAAACCCAAAGGAAAGAGAAGAAAAGATAATGAAGATTAGGATGGAAATAAAAATGAAGCAAAATAGAAAGTCAATAGAGGAAAAAAAAAAATGACATTGAAAGTGAGTTCTTGGGATCCCTGGGTGGCACAGCGGTTTGGCACCTGCCTTTGGCCAAGGGTGCGATCCTGGAGACCCGGGATCGAATCCCACGTCGGGCTCCCGGTGCATGGAGCCTGCTTCTCCCTCTGCCTATGTCTCTGCCTCTATATCTCTCTGTGTGACTATCATAAAATAAAATAAAATAAATAAAATAAAAAAATTTTTTAAAGTGAGTTCTTTGAAAAAAATAACAAAATTAAAAAGCTTAGGCTGGCCAAGATAGACTGACCAAGAAAAAGGAGAGAGGAATCAAATTACCAAAATCAGGAATGAAAGAGGGGATTATTACTATTGACCTCAGAGAAAGAAGATTATATGGAAATACTATGAACTAGAAGCCAACAAATTAGATAATTTACATTAAATGGGTAAATTCCTAGAAAGACACAAACTATGAAACTAACAGAAATAGAAAATCTGAATAGATCTACAACAAAGAGATTAAATCAGTAACTGGGAAATCTTCCAAAAGCAAAGCCTGAGCCCAAGTGCCTTCACTAGGGAATTCTGAACATTCAAACAATACCAGTCCTTCACAGACTCTTCCAGAAAATGGAAGAAGGGATACTTCACTACTCATTCTATGAAGACAGTATTACCAAAAGGTAAACAAAGATCCCCCTGGAAAACCTTTTTCCTCAAGAATATAAATGGGAACATCCTCAACAAAATGTTAGCAAACCAAGTCCAATAGCATTAAAATGGATTATACATAATGACTAAGGGAGATTTATCCCAGAATTGCCTTAACATCCAAAAGCCAATTGGCATGATACATTAATAAAGTACAAAGAAAAAAAAAAGTCTCGAGACAAAAAGCATTTGACAGGGCATCTGGATGGCTCTCAGTCTGTCTTTGGCAGGGTCCTGAGATTGAGCCCTGAGTCAGGCTCCCTGCTCAGTGGGGAGCTTGCTTCTCCCTCTTCCCCTGCCTGCCCCCTGCTCATTCTCTCTCTCAAATAAATAAAATCTTTTTTTTTTAAATGGCACTTGACAAAATCTCCCTCAAATCTTTTTTAAAAAGCATTTAACAAAATCCACTATTCATGGTAGAAATCCTCAACAAACCAGGAATAGAAGGGAATATCCCTAATAAAGAGTATCTATGAAAAACATTCAGTTTACATTATCCTTAAATTGGAAACTAAGATAAAGATGCCCACTCTCACCACTTTTTTTTTTTTTTTTTTTTTTTTTCATTCTCACCACTTTCATGCAATACTGTATCGGAGGTCCTAGCCAAGGCAATTATGCAAGAAAGAAAAGCTATTCAGATTAGAAAGGAAAAATAAAACTATTATTCACAGACAATATGATTTTGTATATAGAAAATTCTAAGAATCTACTACCTAAAATCTAATCTAAAAATCAAAAAAGTGGAAGACGTGTAGGCTGAAAACTATAAAATATTGCTGAAAAGTAATTAGAGAAGTCCTACATAAATAAATGGGAAGATAGCCTATGGACATCAATCAGAAGATTTACTATTATCAAGGTAGAAATACTACCAAAACTAGTCTACAAATTCAATGTACTCTTTATCAAAATCTCTGCAGGCTTTTTTGCAGAAATTGACAAGCCGGTTCTAAAATTCATGTGGAAATGCAAAGGCCTCAGAAGAGCCAAAACAATCTTGAAAAGAACAAAGTTGGAGGAGTAACACTTTCTGATTGCAAAACTTACCACAAAGCCAAAGTCTCTCCATAGTATTTGACACGTCTAACTTAGACGTGTCTAATACTATGGAGTGACCTTCATGATATGTTATTTTAACTAAAGAAGAGGATGGCTGGCTCAGTTGGAGAAGCATGCAACTCTTGATCTTGAGGTTGTAAGTTTGAGCCCCACATTAGATGTGGGGAGTACTTAAAATTTATTTTTAAAAAAAAGAGGATGGAGAAAAGTATACATAGAAACAAAAATGTTTTATACACAATAAAAATTTTAATAGCTACTTATTTAAAATGGAGGGTAAAGGTAAAAGAAGACAGAGATACTTCTTGTAGCCATGTAAATATTTAATAAAATTATCAAACAAAATTTATTTTAAAGATTTTTATTTATTTATTCATAAGAGACAGAGAGAGGCAGAGACACAGAGAGAGAAGCAGGCTCCATGCAGGGAGCCTGATGTGGGATTCGATCCTGGGACTCCAGGATCACACCCCGAGCCGAAGGAAGGCGTTCAACCGCTGAGCCACCCAGGCATCCCTTTTTTTTTTTTAAGATCAAACAATATTTAAATAACAGTTCCTCAATATCAAAAATTAAATGCATAAATGTAATCACATACTCAGTTTTGTCTTACCTGCAGACAAAATATATTCCAAATGACTTTAAAATACAGTAATTTGACTGAATATCCCAGCCCAGATTTTTGAGCTCCAGACTCAATCAGCAACTTGTTTGGTATTTCTTCCTGAAAGTCTTCAGATATCTCAAATTTAACATATCTCAATTGGAAGTCTTGATTTTTCTCCCTGCAACCCAACACCCTCTCCTTTCCTGACTCCCACCCCTTTAAAAGCATCAAACCCAAGTAAATGCAAGCCACCAACCAATCAGTTGCTCAAGGAAAAAAAATCCAGAAGTTTATTCCTCCCTGTCCCTCATTACATACAATCAACAAACAGTCTTGCACATTTTATCTCCAAAATGTATCTTGAATTTGTCCACTTTATTCATGCACTAGTGAGGAGCTGTACAATTCTGGGAAGTCAGGTGGTAAACTAGAGTGCTACTTTCACTTCTACACCCTTAATAATCTGGAAAACTGCTCAGATATGAGAGCCTTTAGAATGTAAACTTCAAAAGTTGTATGATTAAGCAAATTATGCGCTTTCATATGTGCTAGTGTTTAAGGAAATCATTATAGTACATATACACTGATTACAACTGTGCAAAATACATGTTACTTTAAAAGATCAGAACACATTCTGGTTATAATATCAATTCAGAATTTAAATGTTTTCTTCAGGGCACCTGGTAGCTCAGTCTGTTAAGCAGCCAACTCTTGATTTCGGCTCAGGCCATGATCTCAAGGTCCTGGGATCATGCCATGGGCCAGGCTCCATGTTCCGTGGGAAGTCAGCTTGAGGATCCTCTCCCTCTCCCTCTCCCTCTCCCCCTCCAATATATATATATATATATATATATATATATATATATATATATATATATCCAATATATATATATATATATTTTGGATATATATAAACTTCTGGAATATATATATATATATATATATATATATATATATATATATATAATCTTTTTTTCCTACCAAGTTACTAAACCCATTCCCATCCCACAAAAATTCTTCACTGAACAATCAAAACAAGCTGACCTGGACTGGAAACAATAATCAGTTTGCAGCATGGACTGTACTAGATAATACTGAGAATCATTCATTTAAACATGGACACATTTTGCTGGACTAAATCAAGGTGTGTTTCTCCTTTTATCTGGTGTGCACCTGCTGTGATAATCACTATGCTGGAGTTTGCAGTGACAAAGTAATCTGGGGGAAAATTTGAATAGAAAACATATTATGGAAGAAAGCATCTGACATTTAAGTACACATTTCCTGTTTGGCTCAATCACCAGGGTTTACTGAAGAGTAGGCTTCCTTAGATCTACTATGCCCAAAGCACTTCACTAAGTTTTACTAAACTTCAGTAAGTTGTCCTTGCACATTTAAAAAAAAAAAAAAGATTTTATTTATTTGACAGAGCAAGCAAGTGACAGAGAGCACAAGTAGGGAGAGCAGCAGGCAGAGGAAGAGGGAGAAGCAGGCTCCCTGCTGAGCAAGAAACCCAAAGCAGGGCTTCATCCCAAGACCTTGGGCGCCCAAGGCAGACACTTAACCAAATGATCCACCCAGGAGCCCCATTCTTTGTACATTTTTGAGAAACCTCCTAACATATCTTTTGTACTTCACAGAGTAAGAGGTCAAAATGTATAT